ACGTGGTGATACTAATTCACGTAGACGACCATGGCATTGAACGCCAAATGCTTCGCCTATGGGGCGACGATGCGCTCTTGGGACGATTGCGAGATGCGGAATCGTCAGACTTCATCTTGAATGGAAACTATTACAGAGTTCCATTCAATTACTTTGAAATATCGTTGCAGCAAGTGTTCTCGGTGGCTGGCAAAGCATCTGAGCGCATTATGGACGCCCTCGGAAGTAAAATTAACCGCGATGCGATGACACTAATGATTCAAGATATGAATCTGAAGAAGGAAAAGGTACGATCTTTACAGATTATACTCGCCATCGACGCCACAGTGTTCTCGCCCTGTACAGCTAACAGGCTTCACAGATGTGGACGAATAAGGAAGAAGTGATTGCTCCGAAGCAGATGGAGAACTGGACTTACGGGACCAAGACAACTGCAGCAAACCCAGCGAAAGCCATCGAGGAGATCAGAAGGGTACGTCGTTTCCGCTGCGATCGTGGCCGGACTCTGGTCGAATGCTAAAGTCGCTCAGGTTCTCACTACATATTTTTGGCACCATGAACGCAACCCACTGAATCGGATAAAGTCAAGCTGCCGGACTATTCGTCAGATACTACGCGAGGCTGAGAACTGGCATTACCAGCGCTTCAATGTGCGGGTGCATGCAGTGGACCATTTCGACGCGTGGTTCCAGACTCATCTGGAGACTATGCGCGACGCTGTTGGGAAATCCTGTGTCCAATACCTTGAAAATCTAGAGGCATTGCCGTCAGTTAAAGGCAATGCGATACAGGCTGCTCTGGTCAGCAACATGAAAGCGACAGCGAAAAACCTGCCAGACATCGACACAACAGGGTTTTTTCCATAGCTAGGGTAGAAGTTTCCTGCGCATACCTTCGCCTTCTTATACTATAGACTTCCTGACCTACGTGATGCTCATGCTGCGACTAGGTCATCATGAACCAAAAGTCTCCGCACTCATCGACGGTATGGTCGCTGATTAACCAAGACGACTGCCAGTCCCAATGAGATGCCTTGAAAAACCACGCATCTGGGATATCTTCAGCGTGTAGTTTTGCCCACCCTCTCTCCCAGTGTTCAGTTACCCCCGCGACGAATCGTCTCACAGCTCGGGCGTCAATTGCCCATAAATACGCAAAAGCTCGGTCTCGCCATTGCTATGGTGCGCTCTTGTTAGATATACCATTTCCGCTGTGTGGCCACGACAGAAGCACCACAAATCTCCACGTGTTGTACTTGTGTTGTACAATATGTGAACGACCCGCAAGCCGGAAGAAGCACGCACTTACCTGTTTCTCTTCGAGATCAACAGCAGCCCTCAGGGGAGGAATAGGCTCCTGCGACAACTTTACCAGGGAGTCCAGAGATACCAGGTCAACTGCAAGGCACCCGGCGAGCCTAGGGTTCGATGGGTACTCTGCCATCGGATCCTCTCCGACGTCGACGACCCATTGGTTGAATCTGTCGACTAGGGCTTGGATAGTTTCATGGGAAGCGCCTGCAAGAGTTGGGAAATTCATCGTGTCTTTATCCTCCAGTACTTCAATCCGAAATCGACGTGAAATTTCCTCATTCGCCGATCCATCGGTCTTCTGACATCTTTCGCCTTGCGTGCCGAACCATGGAAAACGATGCAGATGAACATAATAATTGGTAATCCACTGCTCAAGTGCTTTGATGGCGACGGGGAAGAGGGCGTCGGACTCCTCCGTATAGACAGTACGAAGGACTGAGGCGCAATTAGGTCAAGGCACATCCAAAACTCTCTCCGGACATGGCATAGAGCTCCGTACCTGTAAAACCCCATGAACCTTTGCCGTACGCGACGTCGCCCGACCGATGAATGTTGTCCTTTAAAGCCGTGAGCCACCCTACTGCGTGCGGATCTAAGTTTGGATTGAGTCGATCAGGTTGTAAAGCGGCGAGGCCACTGGGGAAATCCCCAAACTCTTCTTGGATGGCCATGTGGCGTTTTAGGACCAAATTGAAATGAGCGCCGAGGACTTGACAAATTGGGTTGGGATAAGGTTTAAACTGTTTCTGAAGTGAGAAGCTCTGGTTTAATTTCCGCTGCCTTTTTATGGAACATGCAATGCTCTGGGTGTACGTATGTATGTAGGTTTATGCATGTACCCGTATCGATTTGCTAGAGGTCAAGCACGCGCAACTCGTGTGGCGACCAATGGGGTGGCACGGTACGCCCACACGGGACGACGCGCCACGCGTAAAGTGGTTTCCGCAGATACCCAGCACCGACACGCAACCAGGTTTGCCAGCGGCAGGAGCCATTGTCGACACGAGCGAAATAAGAGCTTGAATGGCGCAGGGGTTTGACTTTGTATGCGTTTTACTTGGTGAAATTCACTTGGACACAGCCAAATGCCAGCCAAAAGCCAGTCAAAGGCCACCTCCAGGCCGTCGCACGCAAGCGCCGCGGCGGAAAACGGGGAGCGACGAGTCGCATGACGTGCCCGCCTTCGACGACTGGATGCTGGAGAACGGTCGTCGGGTCGAGCCTGTTGACGGTCAGCATCGGATCGAGGCACTCAAGGAATACGTGTCCAAAACCGGCGCTGGGAAGGAGGAGCTGTATTGGCACTGCAACTTGTGCGATCGCGGTATGTCGGCGCGGCGTGACGGCGGATCGCCTACAGCGTCAGGGCCGTGACTGATGAGCCCGTCACAGATACCCTTCCGCCAGAACTGAGCCTCGCGCTGCGGATGAACCCTCGGAACCCGATGATGGCGGACAGCCACGGCGACATCTGGGTTCAACTCGTCGCCGCGGCGTCCAAGAACCCCGACATCTTCCACGGCAATACCGCCGACATGGAGGAACAGATGCTCCGTGCTCTCCATATCAGCGGCGAGTTCGGCTTCCCGCTGCGCCGGCTCGTCACCATCTGGCGCAACGAGCGCTGGCGGCAGATGACTACACGGTGGTGCGAAACGACGGTCGGCCGCGCGACCTTCCAAATCTCGACGTGGGACTGGATGATTTGCCACCGGACCGACGATGTGCGTATGTGGCGATTGGCAAAAGACCTCTGCTGACGGGGTGACAGTTCTGGTTCATGGCATTTCGGCAGGTCTTGGGCACGCTCGCGCAGCTCCCCGGAGACGCCGCGAGACTCGTTTCGTCCGAGGACTGGAAGACGATGAGTGCCTCTCTCGACGCCGAGCGGACCCGGGACGAGGTGCAGGGTCTTTTCTACCCGGGGGACCACTCGGAAGCCGATCAGTGTCGCGAGCGAACGCAACCCCAAGCTGCTGCGAGCCTTTGGCGACCGCGCGTACTGGGACGTCTACGAGAGGATCCTAAGCACGTCGGTGCTCGGTTCCCGGACATTCATCACATCACGGGCATGTCACAAGGGCAGGGCCGCGTCCTATTCCAAGTCATGGACCACGTCGTGAACTGGCTGAACCCCAAGAGAACGATTATCGTCGACCGTCGGAGGAATACGAAGCCGCTACTTCGCGTGGACCTCGAGCCGGTACTGGACTACTACACCCTGACGCGGCTGCGACAAGCCGAGAAGCGGGTCAAGATATTCCATGCATCTGCCGCGCCACAATTGCCACGCGAGAGCGCGTCCGTGTTGCTCCAGCAGGAGGTGCTCGAGCACGTGTTGGGGCATCTGGCGGCCTTTAATGCGCCCAAGATGAGGCACTATCTGAAAGACGGAGACCCGGTCGACGATAGCTATGCGGCTCGCTTTCGCGAGAACACTTGGGCTGATGTGCTCAAGATCGTCCGCTGGTACGTGGGCAGCGACTTTCGGCCGATGTGGCTCCCGGTGGAGGGCGGCAACGACAAACCGCCAGAAGCGGAGCCATCCACGCAAGCGGCGAGTCTGACAGACGCGTTGTGTAACTACGACGCTGGCCTATCCGCGGTGCGCGAGAAGCTGCACGGCAAGCCGCAGTCGTCAGTGTTTTGAAGTGCTTTCGC